CAGCATTTAGAAGCAAAAAGGCACATGCAAAAGCTACATTTACGATAGGATGGAGATAAGCTAGAGGCAACAACATCCGTTCACATTTTGCAAACCCATTTCCTGAAGCGTTGCCTGACAGCATTTAGCGAATGGTGTGGAAGAGCCTTATGTCAGTAATGGCAAAGGTCCACCAGGTTTACAGCTTGCCCCGAGTTATGTAGAGCTTTATACTTTATCATAATCAGAACTTTGACCCTGGCTTGTTATCCAAGTGACGGCTACAATATATGGCCAGAAAGTCCTCCAAGGAACTTGGCCACTGCAATTCTACCAGTGGAAGCTTCAAAACCAAGTACAAACTTAGTCCATGTTTTGCACATTATAGTAAGATAAATGTGAGATTACCATTCCAGGAACAACCACAACTAAGCTGTACTTATCCAAGAAAGGACATTGTTGACATACAAACTAAAGTTGGCATAGGTGCTCCCACCCCCTGAACCTCTTGCTTGGACCTCTAATGACAACTCTAGGAGGATCCCCAAACCATGTAATTGTTCTTTCTGAGAGTATACAATCAACTGAACCCTCAGTTCCCATAACTGGGGACCAGTCACAAGATTAAGCTCATCCGCCTTTGGCAGAATAGCAATCGCAGTTAAGTCACAACTAAATAAGATCCCATTGTAGGAACCAGCCTCATACTTAACCATATCACCAGAGAGGGGACTTCAGAAACCATACAATTAAGTATGTGATGGTGATTAAGAATGGTGTCCAGCTGCCAAAGGCTTCTGGCTCTTAAGATGTCTTCCTCTTTTAGTCTCTCATCTTCCCTAACTGGATCACCTGAAGGGGGGGGCACCTCCTTCCCCCAGCTTCCCATCTCCAGAGGCATCCCAAACTATCTACACATGCCTCATTAGGAGGGGAAAGGTTTATTCCATAGAGGAGATCATGCAATTTACCTCTAATCTTATAGTTGTAGGTTGTAGTTGTAGGTTCAAGAAAAGATCTCAGTTAGATCCCTCTATAACTCCATCTTTTACAGAGCAGGGCTTAATTCAGCCATTCCTTCATTCTTGGGAAAGTCCCAGGTGACACTGACAGTACTTTGCACAGTCTACATTCATTTTTCTGAAGAGCTTCCTCAAATATCCAGTTCTAAGTTGCCTTGAACTCCAGGATATCAAACTCCAGGATATCAAATTAAATACAGGTAATCCTCAATTTACGATCACAACTTTTCTGTTGCTAAGCAAAGCAGTTATTAAGTAAATTTTGCCCCACTTTATGACCTTTCTTGTCATAGTAGTGAATCACTGCAGTTGTTAAGTTAACAACACAGTTGTTAACTGACCTTGTTTGTCAGAAGGTCACAAAAGGTGATCACATGACATTGTGGCCATCATAAAATATGAACCAGTTCTAAAATTTGATTAAGTGACCATGGGGATGCTGCTGTAAATGGTCATGAGTGTAAAAAATGGTCATAAGTCACTTTTTTCAATGCCATTGTAACTTCAAACAGTCACTAAACAAACTGTTGTAAGTCGAAGACTACCTATATAGCAATATAGACAATTCTTGCATTAATTTGCACATATGTTTTTCTTCTTCTTTTGCCAGGCCTTGTGGTTGGCCCAAAGGAAGAACTCTGCTGAGATACAAATGCTCTGGGATTCATAGTGGTGTGAGAATTCTCAGAGTCAACTCACAAGTTCAAACACCCTCACCAAACTGTTGTTAAACAGTGTGCACACATATTGGCAATTCATGCACAAGAATCAATGTTAGAAATCTTCACACAGTTCACAGCTGTATTCAGTTTTGTTATATCAGCAATCTGAACTTGTTCTAGGATATTGTATTTATTTAATCGATTTGTATTATCTCACCAAAGCAAACTCTGATTGTCACACATTTTTACTCAACACAGAATCATACATTTGAAAATGAAGGATAAACACTTTTCTGCATTGTGCTTAATGGAATGCCTGACATTGCAGAATGTATCAATTTTAACATTACCGCTGCTTTCTTCAATTATCGCATTTCCTTTGAGAAGGTCAAAAATTAGAGGCTCTAAAACAACCGGTGTATTGTGATATTTGAAATGTAAGCTTGGGGCAACAGAAGCAAAGAGCATAGGTTTTATATATTTCATATTAATATTCTTAGACTTCTAGTAAAAATCCTATCAAATAAGTGCTAATCCAGAGGGCCTCAAGCTATGGGTCATTGGCCCCTAGAGGATGTGAACAGCAAGAGGTCTACAATATGCAGCAAATATGAAAAGCAAAGCAAAATGAAAATCACACACTTTTGATGGCACAGATACCGACTAAAAAGACTTCACTGCTTGGGGTAAACTGAGATGGAGAGAAACTCTGGCTAGCCTGAGAGAGAGAGAGAGAGAGAGAGAGAGAGAGAGAGAGAGAGAGAGAGAGAGAGAGAGAGAGAATGGAATGCCTGCTGCATATCCTACTTGCCCCATACTGTTGTTTTCCTTCTTCCATAAATATTAAAATTCAAAAGGCTCAGGCACCAGCCCCAAATCAATGGCTTACTCCATCCCCTTTTTCATACAAATGGAGGCTAAGTTGCAGAAGCAGATGCCACAGTTAAAGAGAAATTTCTTGACCCAACAATCTGTCAGTGAAACGGGTTACCTTCAGAAGTTGTAGGTGCTCCATCACTGGAGGTTCTTAAGAAGAGACTGGACAGCCATTTGTGTGATATGGTATAGGGTTTCCTGCTTAAGCAGGGGGTTAGACAAGAAGATCTCCAAGGTCTCTTCCAACTCTGTTATTCTATATTCAGAATAACAGAATAATAGCATTGGAAGGGAAGTTGGAGGTTTTCTAGATACTTTTCTAGATATATTGCATCGTTCATTAGCTTCATTGCATTTTAATCATGTATGTCAATATACCATTAGAGGATAGACTGAGGTTTTAAACCAAATGTATCCATGTACGTGTAGATAGACAGACAGACATGTTCAATATATATATATTGAGCATATGTATACTGGCATATGTAATAGCTTACTGTACTTCTTCAGACCTACTTAAAATGGCTTTGAGATCTCTTGTGGTTAATGATGCTTAACAGAAGCCATTGATCAAAGTTAGTTGTAGGTTATCTAAGTAGGTTTCTTGGTGTATCGTGTCTCTAGCTCAGATACCAAGTGTGGCAGTCAGGCAAACCAGCCTAATTAAAGCTGTTTGCTATGATAAAAATTCAGCTGTAAGTGATCACTCTTAACACAGTTTCTGTACTGAGTCTCTTTAGGGCAATCTCAAGCAATGACTGGTCACCTATACAATTCTTTAGCATCATCTATGAACATTTAGGCCTGTCCCCATTGTTATAGGGGTACAAAACATAGCATAGGTACAGAAGACTAGTAGGATAATGGTCCAGAAGTCATTTTTGAAATCTCATCACATTCTCTGAATAACCAGAGCCAAATTTAGTTTCCTAATAGATATTCTTCCATTGCAGTTCTAGTAAAAAGCATTTGTACTGCTAGTTCTAGTAAAAAGCATATGCTACTTACCATACTATACACATCTTTGGCATGTAGCTTATGCAAATGTAGCTTTCCTTACTTTTTCACCAAAGGTATATTATATTATTTTGTATGAAATATATGAATCAAGAAGAATGGATGTTAGCACTTTCTATGTATTACAACCTTCCATATATTTTGGCAGATCACAAAAATGTATTCTTAAACAAAAATATGAGAATTTCCTTATCCAACTCTGAGGAGGAAGTATGTGGAGAACTTGCTACATAATTACACAGTGGATGGAATGGGCTTTCTGATTCTCTGATTCTTTGTTTATATTTGACTATGAAATTTGCTTTATTCCAAAAATTTAAAAATGAATTCTTTTTTGTTCAAGGAATTAAGCAAAATTATTGCATTTCTTATACATAATTTAATATGTAATTTGTTGGGGTTTTCCCCTGGAATTTTATTTATTTTTATTTTATTGTTTTTTATAAATAACTCAAGGTAGAAAACCTATCCAATATACCTTCCTCCTCTTATTTTCTCCACAACAATCCCATGAGGTGAGGTGTGTTAGGAGAGAGGGGGGGAGGGAGGGAGGGAGGTGGGGGGCAAAGTTATCACTTGATCTTTCATGGCTAAGGCAGGACTCAACAGTCTCCCTATTTATAGCCTGATGCCTTAACCACTAGACCAAACACAATCAGTAAAGTGTAAATACTTAACAAAAAATAGAGATGTAACATTATAGTACCTTAAGAGTCAAAGGACCTTATGCAATGGCCAAATGTGAAGCAAAAGGCAACATACAGCTATAAGAAAAATTATGGTGACTTTCTTTTAAATTAAATGTGGTTGACTTTCTAGGGACACATTTATTCTATTTTAGATTATACTTTGTCAAAAAGAGAAAAAAAACATTCTGTAATAGCAGCCTACTCCTCCAAGCTGTTGTCAAAGATTGCCTCTGTAGTAACTCTGTACCTGGAAAATGGACATGGGGAAGAAACTAAGAGAGGCAGGACAGATAAATGAGCACAAAACCCCAGTTCCTCCACCTGCTTTTGACAATTTAATATCAGCCAAATACATGTTGGTTTTTTTTAAAATAAAAATAGAGTGTAAGAAGCGAGAGACAGAGAGAGAAAGATGAAAAGAAAATTATACAGTAACATATGTTACTTCCTTTGTGACAGACCTTTAGGGGAAAACCACATTTTCTTAGGATTCCAGTCTTTACAAAGGTCTAGAGGAACATTACTTATACAGAGCATTGCCGCACTGGTTGTGGCAAAGAGAGATTGTGTAAGGACAGGGACAGCTCACAATGACACTTCCCTTGGAGCTCTCTATCATCCACATGTCCTTTCATTACACAAGAAGCCTTTGCCCTTGAAGGTCCTATAATTGGAAAAGAGTAGTTCAAAATGGTTAAAGGCATGTTTTCTGTTATATAACCAGTATCATTCTTTTTTTTTCCCCTTTACCACAGATAACAGCTGCTGGAGGACATCTGAAATTTACTGTTTCATATGACCTCGCTGGGGAAGAAGATATTGCTGAGGCTGTCCTTCAGTCTGATGTCATCATAGAGGTAGCGTATTATCTCACTAGATATAAATGGGTAAACTGCCAACAGCACACTGTAAACAGAATCCATAAGACCTAAGAAAGAAACTCATTGCAAGAGTTCTCTTCCCAAAAAGAGCTACCGTGTGACTTTTTTTATTTCAAAGATGGAGAAAAGAGCAGCAGAAATAGCCTTCCCCTTGAGAGTCAGCAGACCCTACCCTTTTTAACTTCTGAAAAGTACTTAAGACCTGACTTTTCCTTCAAGAGCTGGATGAGATTGGCATGGGAGGGGTGTGCTTGTTTTATTGTTTATATATATTGTTATATACAATAACACACACACACATACTGTACATGTACACACATAAATAAATACATATACACACAGTCATGTGAAAAAATAGATACACTCTCTTTGAGTTCTATAGTTTTAAGTATCAGAATTAGGTGAAAAAAATCATCTGGTCCTTAGCACTTCTTAAAAGAAGGTAAATACAACCTCAGATGAACAACAACATATAGCACGTTACACCATGTCATCATTTTTATGTTATTATATACACAGTTTGCGTGCATCTGTCTAAAATAAATAAAATGTAAGATGATTACCTCAAAGACTAGCCCAGGTCTGGCTGTGTCTATCTGAACAATGATTTACATGTTCTAGAATATTTCTTAGTGTTATAAAATGTACATGTTAGAATCTGAGCCATCCAGAGTTTGATTTAAAAGTAGAGTATTAGGACAGATGCATGCAAATATAGCCATGTCTATGTAGGCTAGGTGTTATCTTTGGATGGTAAGGAAAGGGATTGCATAATGCTAAGTAATATTCCAGAACATGATAATCACAGCGACACCTGGGCTACTATTTTAGGTAATCGTGTTAAATTCTATTTATTTTAGACAGATGCACACAAACTGTATGTGTAATAACATACAGAAATGGCTCTTAACAGAGGCGCTTATTGCAAATGAAGCCCATTCTTTTTAAATGACATTATTCCTCTGATGCAACTTAGCTTTGTCTCAGCAAGATGCTCAAAGGCTCTTCCAATACCCAGACGAGGTTTCAGCTCATGTCTATAGGCTACACTAGAAGACCATTCAAAATAGAGCAGTGTGGCTACTTTATTTAGTTGAAGTGTATGTGTTTGCACACGTGCACACACATATGTATGCTTTGCTTTACAAAACCGTTTTAAGGAGGTTCATCACACAAACCTTTATTGAATCAAAGTATTCCTTCCAAGCTCTGCATAGAATCACCATTAAAGCATAATATAAAAGTTATCTGAATTGCATACTCTGGAGGTAGCATGTATTACTTATATGTCTTTATTTAATTTTATGATACCTCTAAACCACTGATAATGAATGCCGGACAGAATTCTATCTACCGTACGTTCATGAAAAATATAAATATGTCACCCGATTTCCTATAGGTGATCTGATTTGCCTTTTTCCATTGTTGACCATGTTTTCCTAGAGACAGTGGTATTGTTTCTAGAGAATAATCATTTAAATGAAACACACTATGTAGTACACATTTATATCAAGGTGTTCTGCTCTCTAGTAATGCAGCGTTGAAATTTGCTTTTTTAAATATTTGCATCTGTGTCATTTCTTACAATTAGGGAAGTGGGTTGAAAATAAGCACGTCACAGGAAGGGATTCACTTAAACCCATTTGAAGAGCACACAGAAGAAGTCATACTGAAGCACAACTTATTCATGCTGCACGGCGTCCCAGTCAGCAAAAGGGAATTTATGACTGTTTTGGCGAATATAAAAAGACTCCTTATAAGAGCCACATACAGCAATGGGATGAATGCCATCTACAGGTAACTGTTGAAAAGGCATTTTGTTCTCTCTGAAGATTGGTGAAATTCTACCATTCGGGGCTGGCAGAAGTAGATTGTATTTTCTGTCTTACTTGCCTTTATGTCAGACAATTTTATATCATAGAGCAATATTGCTCACTTTGCTAGCCTGTGGACAAATAATATTTCATAAATGTTTAAAAATCATCTCCAACTAACATCGCTAATCTAGAGATAAGAGATAAACTAGACTAATAATGACTCAACAGACCACCAGAAGAAATAAATATGCTGTTTATCATGCAACATATGAATCTATGGATTATTCAGCTTTGTAATTAAAGGAGGTAAATAGAGTAAATAATACACAATAACTCTGTTCTCATAAAATGCTTAATCCAATCATCCACTAACCAAGTGAGATTGTATAATCGAATTACCATTTGAAATGCCACTCAGAGGTGGCATCTCTGAATCCTTAAACTATGTAAGTGCTGGTAAGGCTTCATAATGTTACTAGCTTCTTCCCCATTGGCTGTGTAGGAGCAAGAAAGTGTTGCTAAGCAATTGTGGTCAGAGGTGTGGACGATGCCTTCAGGATTCATGGGCAACCATACTTTCCCAACTGCTGGGGATTTGAGGGGGTGGGGTCAAGGCAGGCAAAACAGATCAATTGACTGGATTTAGGTTTCTCCACAAGGTGATTGATCTGTGGAATTAGTTTAACCCTATACAGGCTATCCTCAACTTACAACAGTTCGCTTAGTGATCGTTCAAAGTTACAACAGCACTGAAAAAAAGTGACTTATGACTGTTTTTCACACAATCGCTACAACATCCCCACATCACGTGATCTAAATTCAGATGCTTGTCAATTGGTTCATGTTTATAATAGTTGCATGTGATCACATTTTGCGACGTTCTGACCAGCACAGTGGGGAAGCCAGCTTCACTTAAGAACTGTGTTATTAACTTAATAACTGCAATGATTCACTTAACAACTGTGGCAAGAAAGGTCGTAAAATGGGGCAAAACTCACTTAACAAATGTCTCACTTAGCAACATAAGTTTTGGGCTCAATTGTGGCCGTAGATCGAGGACTATCTATACATGATTGGGCCTGCTTGGGGTTAACTTTAGCACCCTACAGATTTGTTGATTGAATTAACTGAACTCTTTTTGGTGCTTCAACAATACACTAATCTTCTCATTGACTCAGTTAAGCATGCTGGGTTTAGAGCCAACATATATTATTATTAACTGTCATGTTAAGAAAAAAAATGGCATAGAAATACTAATTTCTTTGTATAATTGTAGACAATTTTATTAAAAATTAAGGGCCACTGATGTCATTGCAATATAAATGAACACAATGTAAGTTTATATGAGTTTAAGCATCATCCATTTTTTATTAAAAAAAATGCTTTTCTGAAAGCATTTGTAATTTTATTCAATTATACAGCTGCCATCTCATTGAATGATTTTGAGCTATTAAAACAATTGAAAGTAACAAGAGCAGAAAATAAATACATACCTGGCAGTTGAGATAAAACAATAGTATAATAAGTCTAAAAATGAATACATTTTGTGTGGATTTTTCTTGCTGTATATATTTAGTTATCTATTTTTTTCACTTAATGAATTTTGCATGCACTTTCACTTGCAATTTGCATTTTTGTATTAATAGACTTGTTTTTTAAAAAAATGTGCAAAACTAAAACTGGATAGTAAGAAATTTAAAGAAAGAAATTTAAAACTGTAATAGGTTGTTCTATTAACCTATCACTTCAGTATGAATACAAACTACTCAGCTCCTAAGTTTCTTCACAGCTTTGCCTTATCCTCTCATTGCTTCTCTTATTTCTTTGTGTATTCCTCTTGAGCCTTCTCTACTACATGTCTTCTACCTTCACTCGTGTCAAGGTTTTTGATCCCTCAGTCACCCCTCCTTCTATTCCTTAGTTTTCTTCTCTTCTGCATGGCATTGGCTTCCTCAATACATACATTGTTTTACCTCTTTCTTATTTTTCAAAAGCTTCCTCTAAAAGTAATCCAATTTTATGCCTGTGTTATCTTTTTTATTCTGTAGATACCGTGCTTCCCCGAAAGTAAGACCTACCCTGAAAATAAACTCTAGCTTGATTTTGGGGGTGGGCCTAATATAAGCCCTACCCCCAAAATAAGCCCTAGTTTTGGGACGAGGCACACACCTAAAAATCAAGCTAGGATGGGAGCTGCCCCACACGCCCTGCACTCACTTAACCTTGCATCCAGGCCATTCCTCACCAGTCCACTTTTTCTGTGGTGTCTTCTGTAGCCAGCCCTGCATTTCTCAGTCACAAGCCTTTCTGGAAGGCCACTGCAGCCGAGAACTGAGCTGCAGAGGCCTTCCAGAAAGGCCTGACTGTGAAATGCAGGCCGGAATGCAGTGGCAGAATGACGCTGCTCCTTCGGCCACAAAAGAAGTAGTCCGGCTGGGTGGGGCTGTTGGTGCTGGAGGTGAGTATAAAAGACATCCACGAAAATAAGACCTGGTGCCTCTTTTGAAGGCAATAAATAAATAAATAAATAAATAAATAAATAAGACCCGGTCTTATTTTCAGGGAAACACGGTAGTAGTGTCAGTAATGGGTTTTGTTTGATGAGACCAACTTTACCCTTTAAGAGTAGACCTATTTGAGGTTTCTGTATCTGTAGCTAAGGCTTAGTGAGCCCGGATACATCGACTAGAATGTTACTTTTCTGTAACAACACAACTCTCCTTAAAGCAATTTCATTTGATTACTGTCAATTCTTTCTTTTTCTTTCCATTCTGAGGTCATATTTTCTTCACTTGTAGGTAGAAAGTCATCCACACAAATAAAGATTGCTATTCTACAAGTATCCAGAGCAATCACCTATATTGTAAATAAAGTACATGTGTTCATTCTATTTTGTTGTCCTATACTGATGTTCAAAATGGAAAAAAATTAATAAGATTGGAGTGGGGGCTACTTCCATTCTGCGGTCCCATTTTTTTGTTAATATTCTTACACAGCTAGGAGCCATGCACTAGATCGGGAGTTTTCAGTGTTTTTTCTCCAAATCCAGGGTCCCAGAATTTGACAGAATTCCATGAAAAACTAAGAGGGAAACCCACCCACCCCCACAATACCATTTTAATTCAACTAAGGGCTTTCCAGCCTTTTTTTCTATAGGAAGCCTGTCTGCTGACTTTCAGAAACCTTCCTTTCCCCAGGAAGTATTTGTGCTCATGAAGAACCATCATATTATGTGCATGTGAAGCAGGCAGCAATGGTTCCAGGTATTTTTTTATTATTATTAAATTTTGTTGTCCCAGAAGTTTGAAAATCTTTTTTACTAGACCTTTGCCATCAACCCCATCATTTTTTTCCCTACAATACACATTGTGAGACCTGTGCATGGGTAGATTCCTGCACAAACAGCATATTCAATAGAGAGAGTTGGCGGTGAGAACAGCAGACATTACCTTGATATACATCCAATTATATGTTCATGTTTTTCTTATTCTGAAACTTTAGCCTAGGGCATAATAGAAACAAAGATGATGAATATAAAACATGGAGAAGGCTCCCATCTCAGTCTGGGAGATCAGCCATAGTTCCTTCTTACAGAGAGTTCTCAACTTACAGTTGTAACTGGGGGCAAAATTTCCACCGCTAAGCAAGGCAATTGTTAAGTGAGCCATGCCCAATTTACAATCTTTTATGTCATGGTTGTTAAGCAAATCACTACAGTTATTAAGTGAATCACATGATCATTAAGTGAATTTGACTTCTCCCATTGACTTTGCTTGTTGGAAACTGGCTGGGAAGTACACAAATGGCAATCACATGATCTCAGGACACTGCAATGATCATAAGTGTCTCACAGTTGCCAAGTGTCCAGATTTTGTTCAGATGACCACGGGGATACTATGACGGTCATAAAATGTGAGGACCGGTCATAAGTTACTTTTTTTAAGAGCTGTTGTAATTTTGAACGGTCACTAAATACATAGTTATAAGTCCAGGACTACCTGTCTGTCTTTGCTGCTTTATCAACGTGCATCAGATGATCACCACTCTATCTTTTGGAGCCCGAAGTGTAATCATCATTAAAATGGGTATCATTGGTCTTTGTTAAAAACATGCTGATAAATCATCAAAGCATATTAAAATGCACTGAAATGCATATTCGTAATTGTGGGAATTGTTCAAAAAGGCAACACATTTTAAAAGAGAAAATGCTTTACTGTCATGACCAAGTCATACTTTCTCTGGCCTGGGCCTCTCAGAGGCAATTAGGCAATGAGCAAGTTCCTACTTTCTTAGGATAGGCTGAAAAAAGTCAATTTTCAAAGTTTAAAAGGTCAGTAGTAGCTTTGTAGCCCATGTTTAGATTTCAGTACTTAAGGGGAATTGAAACCACTCAGTGAATTCAACTAGGGAATAATGTTGCGTGAAATGGAGACAATGTGTGACCTAGAAGCTTTCCAATAGTATCATATGGTGCTGGTGATTTCCTTCCTTCCTTTTTAATCTCAGGATACAACAATTAATGTAATAGCAGACCGTAAACTGCACTACTATTGCTTCAAAAGCTGCATCTTGTTTAATCTCGTTTGCATTTAGAAGTCAACAGTGTCTGCCACGCTAGCAATCATATTAAATATTTGGTCTAGATACTTGAATTTCTCAAGTATCTCCAAGATCCGGTATCCCATTACTGCCAACATTATGTACTTTAATGTTTGCTGAACGACACAGAGGAATAGAAATTACTACACTGAAGTGGGGAAAAATTGCACTGCAGCTTTTTTCAATGAATAAAAACTGTTAAACACATTAAAATACCATTTACCAAATAGCAGAACCTAATGAAAATTGGGACTGTTCAGTGAATACAAATGTGGAATAATTCTGAGTGAAATGTTCTGTGTGTAACTGTTTCTCATTGCTCCAAATTATATTATATGGCACTAAGAAAAGACAATCTGTGCTTCCGTAGGTAAATAGTTTAGTAAAAATACCAGTAAATTTTTGTTATGTGTAGATATTAAGTTCTTTAGATTTATTCTTGGCCTTAACAAATCTTAGTGTATGTTTAAAAAATATTTCTTCTGCCTCATTTTAAATGAAAACTTAACAATGGGAATATAGTAAAAGGACATCTTAAATATGAATAATGCATTTCTGGGATGGGTAGTACACGTTAGACTATCTCTGTTATTGGAAAAATGCTTTGGGTAGCATGAAAAGTGAAGTCAAGATATAAATGATTTTAAAAATGTATGTACGGCTTCTAGACTGCATTTCTCAAAAAAAAATTCAGGCAAATCTTCATTGACTCTAGCTTTACAAAATTCCATATATACTAAAGTATGTAAAACTAGACATCTAACAGACCTTTTGTCAAAAATGTTGCTTCCTTGAATATTAGAGGACTGGAGGCTAAAACATTTGAGGAACGGTTGCTGGAATTGGGTATGTCTAGTTTAATGAAGAGAAGGACAAGGGGGGACATGATAGCAGTGTTCCAATATCTCAGGGGCTGCCACAAAGAAGAGGGAGTCAAGCTATTTTCCAAGGCACCTGAAGGCAGGACAAGAAGCAACGGATGGAAACTAATCAAGGAGAGAAGCAACCTAGAACTAAGGAGAAATTTCCTGACAGTTAGAACAATTAACCAGTGAAACAACCTGCCTCCAGAAGCGGTGAATGCGCCAACACTGGAAGTTTTTAAGAAGAGACTGGACAGCCATTTGTCCGAAATAGTGTAGGGTTACCTGCCTGAGCAGGGGGTTGGACTTGATGACCTCCAAGGTCCTTTCCAACTTTTTTTTTTTTATTATTATTATTATTATTATTATTATTATTATTATTATTATTATTATTATTATTATTATTATTATTATTATTATTATTATTATTATTATTATTATTATTATTATTATATCTAAATACTGCCCAAGAAATAGGGAGCCAGAGATACTGTGTGACGTAATGACTTCTCAGATGAGTTTATTTCTCAGTGGCCTGTAGGACATATAGACAACTAACCTCCCACCCCACAAGCTTTGGGAACCTGAAGTTTTGAAACCAGTTTGTAGATATTTTGTAAGTTACTCAGTGGAAGAGCTAGCCAGTCATCAAATAGTTGTCATGGAGTATAAAACTTCCCATAAAATATTTGCGTTTGTCCCTACTTACCATTATCCTTCTGGGCTGTGAGGCATACTTCAAAGCAAAGCATTGGACCACAGCCATTATCCTTTGTATTTTCTAAAAACAAAATCCTCGTAACAAAATAACCAAGGTATTTTTGAGACTAAAATGACACCCTTTGATCTACAATGCACCAGGTTATCATCATTTTATACACACACACATATACACACACATACTTTAATGCTGTATCCTACCATGTGTGAGTTGGGTGGCCATATAAATCTATTTAATAAATAAATAAACTCACACAATACAGGGATCCTCCATGCATCAGAATGTTTCACCAGGTTACACTTTTAAAAATAAAAATGTTGCTAATTTTCCTCCTCTCAGCTTCCTTAGTGTGTAGAATGATACTTCACCCTGAGGAGAGTCTCTTGCTAATGGTAGTTAGAAGATCAGGGTCAGATTAAAACATTTTCCACTGGGAGCATGGGACTATGTAAAGAATCACAAAAATTAACTACTTAGCAATGCTCCCAGAGACACTGGTTAAGATGCAAAGAAATTTTATATTCAGGCTTGGATAGGAACATTAGAATTTAAAAATATATTACAGTAATTACTAGTAAATCTACTAGTTTTTTATGAAGTTGTGCCAATTTAGATAAATTAGTTTATTATTTTTCTTTAAATCCTTTATCAATAAATATTTGATATATTAGCTAATTTTGATTTTGATAAGGTAGTCAAGGCAGCGCTTATCTATAAAAATAAGTTTGAGTTCAGGGTGGGTTTTTTTTTCAAAGCATTAAGTTTCAGAACAAGGTAAAATGCAAGAAACTAAACTGGAGGTTTTTAAGAAGAGATTGGACAACCATTTGTCTGAAATGGTATAGTTTCCTACCTGAGCAGGGGGGTGGACTAGAAGACCTTCAAGGTCCCTTCCAACTCTGTTATTTTGTTAATCTGAAAAAGGGGAAAAGTATAAAAGAAAAAAAGGGGGGGGGTCAAGGATCAAGCAAAATTGGAAGTGGGGAAAAAAGGAGACTTTTTTAAAGAAAAGAATAAAAGAATAACTTCTGGTTTTCTTTGGTACAGATAGTGTAAAATGCTATAAACTTTTGCTCTAAGATTAACTGTAACACACAGTACTATTGTAATCATAAAAAAGTCTAATCGTCAAATTCCAAAGTTAAAATTTCCATTTCTTTCAGTTTCAAGCAAAACGTGCAAAAGTTTTCCAAGTAGAACGAAAGCCAAATAAACTCCTTTCTTTAATCAAAGCAGTCAATTTCTTCATTTCTGCCCATTCCATTAACTACACCATCTGTTCTTCCATTGTGGGATTTTATGAATTCTTCCATCTCTGTGATATAAAAGTGTTGCTTCTGTTATCATGTATAAAAGTAAAGTATTTTTTTTTCAATCTGTTTGTCCATCAAACCTAGAAGAAAAACATCTGGTTTCGGTTGTACATTTATTTTAAGATTTCTCTGAATTAAAATACAAATCTGGTCCCAATATTTCTTATTGGGACCACCTAAATTAGTTCAGTGTAAATAGCCCTACAAAACTTTATTTAGTTCTTTCGTATTAAAACTCCTAAACACAAATCCTACCTGAGCACAATTTACATCCAAATAAACGTATCTAGGATTGCTTCCTTAACACTTACTTCTGCTGATTAAAGTTTACTGACTTGAATGTGATGAAGTATGCTCAGATTTTCATTGGATTGTGAATAATATTCCTAATGTACATGGATGATGGATGGATGGATGAATATTTCAAAACAAGATCTATCTATCATCCATGTGTCTGTCTGTCTGTCTGTCTGTCTGTCTGTCTATCTATCCATATCTCCTATGGTGGACAACTTTTTTGTGGGTTCTGGAGTTGCACAAGTTTATTTATTGAACAAATTTATATAGCTGCCCAACTTACACACAGTGACTCTGGGGACATAACAGCATTAAAAATCCACAGTTAAAAATCCACATGTTTTAATCCCCGTCCTACTCCTAGCCCCTTAAGTTAACCTAGTGATTGATTGATTGTGCACCATGAAGTCATTGCTGACTTTCAGCAACCACCTGGTTAGATTTCCTCTAGTCTAGACTGGCTTCTTCATGTGTTCATGCTACAGCATACAGTGCTTATCAAATCTTTATTACTGTATTGGGACAAGACTATGAAAAATCTCTTGTATAATAGAGAGAAATGTTTTTTTTATCTCTGTCCTTATATTGATTAGTGTATAGAATCTTGTAAAGAAAAGCAATTCACTTTAGAATAAGTATTTTTTTTATAACATCATTTTTCCAAAGTAAAACATATTTTGAAGTAATGTCAAATCTATAAATCTAATTTAAGATTCCATTACTTTTCAGTAGGAAAAGAAGATGTGTTTGACAGTTTCTCAGTCAGCCTAATTCTTGGTCTGCCTGCAGCATAAGTAAAACGTGCAATTTACAAACTAAGCAGTTTTCCTATGGCTACTAACATTTGTGCGACAATGTTCTAATGTGGATTTGCTATGCTATACAGATAGTCCTCAACGTACAACCAAAATTTATGTTGTTAAGCAAGAAATTTTTTAAGTTGGTTTTTCTCCATTATATGACTTTTCTTGCCACATCTGTTAAGTGAATCACTGCATTTGCTAAATTAGTAACACGGTTGTTAAGTATATCTGGTTTCCCCATTGACTTTGCCTGTCAGAAGGTTACAAAAGGGGATCACATGACTCCAGGAACTGCAACCGTCATAAATGTGAGTCAGTTGTCACACATCCTAATGTAAATCACGTGTCTATGGAGAGGCTGCAATGGTCATAAGTATGAAAAATGGTCATAAGTCACGATGCTAACTGTGGTAAGTCAAGGATTATTTGTAGTCTAAACATGACTACTACCAAGTTAAAGGAGACAGTCAATTTTTGGAAAACACATTTTACTTTTAACTAAAATACATGATCAGTCCTCCCCACTTGCACCCAGTCTAGCATAGCAAATATTATAAATACAATTTTACCTTTTAAATCACTAGCATTTCCTCTACTTTATCCTTATACTGTATATTAGGTTGAGTGGTGTCAGCCTGGAATCTGCTAACGACTTACTGACTGGACAAAAAGATGCATGTGCTGTTGAAATTTGCCAATGTCCTACAGGATATTCTGGTTCCTCCTGTGAAGTAAGTATCTTAATATAAAGCAGTTCAATGATTTCTCAAACAGTAAATATAGGATTGATTGGAAAAAGTAATCTCTTTCAAGTAGACCACAAATATGCACAAAGTATGTGCATATCTATGTGGTAGGACAAGAATATCAGAATAAGCTATGGGTGATGGCAATAGAAACAAGCTAAACCTTCCTGACTTTAGGCGAATGCCAAGCAGGCACCACCCTAGGGTACCAAAGTTTAGGGGCACTAATGCCGCCCCCTCCTTCCTAATCATTCCAAAAATGCAAATCATTTTGGCATGGCCATCAGTTCATGATGTTTAGAGGCAGGGCTTTTTTTTTCTCATAGAACGCCCAGAACAGAGTTCCGGCACCTTTTTGGGATGGAACCTTGTAGGGTAGGCAAGGCAGGTTGTATGTCATGTGTGAGTTCTGGCATCTTTTTTTTTTTTTTAGAAAAAAAGCACTGTTTAGAGGTATCATATACTCTTGAACGGCATTGTTTTCTATGAATCATCATATTCCACCTTTTCTTTCCTCCATATACAGTAACTGTAATGAAGAGTTTTAAAAAGTGTTTCTTTCTGTTTTAATTAACTTTGATTTACCACAGCATTCAAATCTAGTTGGATGTGCTTAATTATAGGTTGCATATCACAAATCATATTCAATCTTTGGACTATTTCATTTAACACTGTATTTCTAAAACTCAGAATTACATAATTGTAAATACATATACTGGATACAATTGGGTATTTTTAGCTCAGTTAAAAAAAACTGAAATCTTTCTTTAGTCCCTTATATTTGTAAATAACTTTACATATGATTATATTATATTTTAACACAAATATATCTGAGTTCATATTTTCATTCACAGAGTAGCACTCTTTATGCCCATTTGTCTGGAAACACCTACGGGTGACTTCTGAACTGATGTGCATAGAATTGTATTTCGTATAATTTTATATACGTAATGTTCATAACATGCAGTCATTAAACAGTCCTTTGGGCTTAATCACTTTGTCATTATATTTAAAAACTCTAGATAGTCAATCAAAATATGTGATATGTTTTAGTATTTCAAAGCAAAGTAACACATTCGTGCTTGAGATGATATACAGCGCTTTTCATACAGATGGTGTGATTGTCTTCTCCCCTCTCTACACATGCATACATACACAAATACACACACACATTTTCCCCCTGGGGTGATTGATTCAACAGTTTAGAAGATGCAGTCTTGTTGAAGGTTATATATGTAAAATCTGAATATTTTCAACCAAATATTATCTAGCCTATATTTGGAGTGAGTGCATGTATGCTTAACTAACATGTCAAGGCTTTGCTGGTGGTGCTTTTAAATGCAAAATTTTTTGAAAACTAAGCCTCTAAGGAAGCATTTTAAAGCACAAAGATGTTCTGTTTCACAATACTATAAACAACGTGTCATTTATATAAGCACTCTAGGCATTTACTTGTCAGCTCCCTTCTTTTAAAGCACCATGATTTTATATATGTTATTTAGGTCATGGAGCCTTGATTCTGATAGCTCATATATTCACTTCTTTCTCTTATTATAAATACAAAGGCAACCTATAAAAGGCTGATGATAGATTTTGAAGATTTTTGTAAAGGTTCAAAAAACTGGTTTGATTACAAATATCAGCTGAGCAAATGCAGCTAATTTAGGTGATGGTTATTATTTATTTATTTATTTATTTACTTACTTACTTACTTACTTACTTACTTACTTACTTTTTTTTGCATTGGGCTTCCATACGAAACTGAGTTACAACATAAAAAAAAGCAGACATCAGAATATGAAAACATGAAATATTGCAACATAAAATAATGTTTGTCTTGTATCCTCAGTTTTAAAAAATCCAAAACAACTACTGGCTGTTTGCAAAGCAAATTTTGAATTATGATTTAAGGGACAAAATAACCAAAATACTTACCCTGAGAACAGTTCCTCTTCATGATTCCTTTTGCTCCCGATTAAAGAACCCTATTAACCAAGGATACCATTTTAAATATATCTATAGTATCTTGGAACTAAATATTTCCCAAGGGATACAGAGGAAAAACAGGGCAATAAACAGATGTGGGAGGGGCAGCCACCATTTCTTCTCTGGGACTGGGCCTCTGAATAGATGCAGGTAGTCCTCGACTTATTACCGTAATTGGGAGCAGAATTTTTGTTGCTAAGCAAGGTGGTTGTGAAATGAGTCATACTGGATTTTATAGCTTTTTTGCTAAGAGAATCGCTGTAGTTTGTAAACGAATCATCTGGTCGTTAAGTGAATCCGACTTCACCTATTGGCTTTAATTGTTGGAAGCTGTTTGGGAAGGTTGCCAATGGCAACCATGTAACCCCAAAATGTTACAACCAGTTGCCGAGTACCCAAATTTTGATCATCTGACTGTGATGCTGCACCTTCGTATCATCAAATGCTCCCAAATTGAAGAAACACACCACCTCCTCAGTAACATATTCCCTGGGATCAAATTCACACACAAAGAGGAAACAGACAACAGATTCCCATTCTTCAACGTTCCTCAAACCCACGCACACAGACCAGATCCCCATCTTCACAAGCAACCACCCCACTGCACACAAAAAAAGCTATGTCCAGACTCTCTTCAGAAGGGCCAGGACACACTGCAGCACCACAACACTAAGAAAAGCAGAAGAGAAACAGCTTTTCAACGTCTTTCTCCATAATGGCTATCAAAAAACTTCATATTTCAACACACAGCATCCAAACCACAACACACCACACAGCCAATCACCACACAAAAACTAACCCTACCAGACAAAAAAGGGGTGTTGGAAATGACAGCCAGAATTCTCCAAACCCTAGGAATAGCAATAGCCCACAAACTCACAGCCACACTCTGCCAGAAATTATCCAGAACCAAAGACAAGATACAGAAGGATGAAAGAAACAATGTAATTTACAAAATCAACCAATTCTATGTGTGACAAACATCACATCCATTAAAAACCAGGATCCACAAACACCAGCTGGCAAACAGCATAATCCCAAATCTTTAATCTCTACCCACGCCGACACCAAACAGCACCAGTTCGATTGGAGCAACACTGAAATCGTTGGCCACGCTACCACCCACTATGCTTGTGAGTTCATCAAAGCCTGGCACTCCATAAACAATTCCATCAATGAACATATTGACCAACAACCAGCCTACGAACCCCTCAGAATCCAAGTCAACCACACAGCCAACCATTAACAGCATTGACTCGCAACCAGCCAAACCACCCAAGCCCACCAGCAGTTCACCTCCCAATGAACCTCACCTGATGTAACCTCTCCATCACAAGACCCATCACAAGACTCACTGATGACTCATACATGACCTATCACAAGACCCATCACAGACCCTCACTTGACACACCCATACCTGAAGCCCTTATAAACAGAAGAACACTGACAATCCCTAAACTCTGCTGAAGATGATATCTAGCCTGGTAATGAAATGTTCAGAAACCAACCCACAAGCTCGGAGAATGAACCTTCACCCCTATATTTATATAATCTCTACTGAAACAATTTCAAGTGTTCTTGCAAACTTCAGTTATAAAACAGAAAGGCCCATGATTTTTTATATATATATTTTCTGGATGGCATTATTATTATATTTTTCTCATGTGTAAGTTATATTTTCTGTTAAACTATTCACTGCAAATCTTCACTTGATGAGGTGAGGAATTTAAAAGAGAAATTAAAAGATTATAAGAAAAATTCTGACATCATTCTGCAACACTGTGTGAACAATTTCAACCCTTAGGGCAGACATGTCAAACTTATGACGTCACGTGACATTGCACAATGTATCAGCGCTTTTTCGCCATTGCCGGCAATGGGGTGGGCGTGATTTCCCGATGACGCATCCGGCCCGCAAGCCGGCAGTTTGACACCCCTGCCTTAGAGAATCTGTAAATGTTTAGTTTCCTGAATTCTGTTCCTACCTACACAGAGAAAGATGCAAAAACAGCAAGATACTAACCTCAAGCAGTTGTGTCTGCATGTTCAAACCCATAAAAAAAGTCAAAATATGATAGTAAGAATTGCTGTCTGGAAACTTATTGTGAAGTGCAAGCAAAAGTCAGGGGCTTGTCTGATAACTCATACTTGAAGTATGTCACCTTGCCTGAGAAATGCCCAAGCAGTAGATATAATATAGGATATTGAATCACAATTGTTAGGGGGGGAAACCCCTTCCTTTTAGATGCAGTTTCACGCATACGCTAGAGCAGTGTTTCTTAAGTCAGCATGTTTACGATGTGTGGACTTCAAATCCCAGAATTCCCCAGCCAACAAGCTGCTTGCTGGCAAATTTTGGGAATTGAAGTCCACACATCTTAATGTTGCTAAGGTTGAGAAACAGTGCATTGGAGTGCTGTGCAATCATCTGACCTCCTCATATGAGGGCTAAGAGTGTGGAAGGAACATATGCACATATATATTTGGTTCTATCCTGGCTGTTTAGCTCTAGAGCAGGGGTAGGCAACCTTGGCTCTTTTATGACTTGTGGACTTCAACTCCCAGAATTCCTGAGCCAGCTAGACCGTAACTCAGTGTAATAAAAAGCCTCATTTAAAGAGAATGGCTGGCTCAGGAATTCTGGGAGTTGAAGTCCACGAGTCATAAAAGAGCCAAGGTTGCCTACCCCTGCTCTAGACATTCTTGTGTCAAGTAGGAAGTTCTAAATCAGTTTCTACTTATACGCCAATGAACACAACTTCAGAACTCTTACCTCTTCGCCCTATACAGGTAGCTCTTGACTTATAACCCCAATTGAGACCAAACTTTCTGTTGCTAGTGAGACATTTGTTTTGCCCCATTTTACAACCTTTCTCGTCGCAGTTGTTAAGTGAATCACTGCAGTTGTTAAGTTAGCGGTATGGTTGTTAAAAGTGACTCTGTCTTCCCCACTGACTTTGCTTGTCAGAAAATTGCAAAAGTGGATCACATAACCCTGGGACACGGCAACCATCGTAAATATGAGTCAGTTGCCAAGCATCTGAATTTTGATCACATGACCGTGGGGATGCTGCAACGGTCATAAGTATGAAAAATGGTCACAAGTCACTATTTCAGTGCCGTTGCAACTTCAAATGGTCGCTAAACAAACTGTTGTAAGTCAAGGACTACCTGTAGGATGATTCTTGTAGTTTGACATTTATGAAAGTTCACTGCTCTCCTAACTTTTATCCCTCTTGTAAAGACATTGAATGCCTGTATAAGGGGCTGATATTTTGTGTAACAGGCACCCTACGCACAATAAAACAGTTTAACCAAGTTTTACTGAATTGTCAACAAAATTGACTGAGTTTACAAAGTACATTGAGTCCTAAACCACAGTTTATAAATGATATGGTTTTGCTCATACAATCTAATCAACCACAACCAAATCATATTATGCTTGAATGAAATGCAATTAGAAAGCTGCATTTCTCACAATCCTATCCCAATTTCTGGGATAAATATTAACATTCTAATTACAGTGGCATGGCTGACTATATAGAACATGTTTACCAATTTTATACATGATATTAACATTCTTTCAGGCACATATCTGTGTGGAATTTTTCCATTCTACTAGGTCTATAAGTGAGGGGAATCAGAGTTATGCTTTCTTTTTTCCTGCTAATTTGCCTTCTTTTTTTTTAACCTTTAATCCAAAATAATTGCACTGATGTTTTAGCTATGGAATATCTTTTCTCTTGCCTTTTACCCCTTTTTTCAATAATTTGCCTTCTAACTATGTTCAATCTGCATATTAATATGTCAAGCTATCTTATTTCCATTCTTTACTTCTCTGCTTTTATTTTGCCTTTTCAGCAGAAAGATCAAGCTAAGACTTCTTTTAATCTTACTCCAACCTTTTCAGTTCAGGTCAGTATGTAGACAATCATACCAGTGAAACAAGCTTCTTTGTTTGGTTTTAGCAACACCAGCCTTTATTCCGGATCAAAACAGTTCTCAGTTGTACAAAACATCTGAACAATGTATGTGCTAATTGCTTGGGAGGAATAACAGGTGGAGTGTCAGTCATTTTCCCTTTCTCTACCTGGCATTTAAGCCAATATATCAGTGGAACCATTGAATGCCTTGCAACACCATCCACTGAGCAACACCCATGCCAGAAGAGTATATAGACTAATATATTGGACTATGTTTTCAGCATACTTAGTTCCAAAGAAAAGGAATCCAGTTTAATCTATGGTCTACATAGCTGACTACTTTGCCTCTGAAAATACAGCCATGGTTCCCAGAAAAATCAGGAAATCTGCTCTCTAGGTGAAGATCCCTCAACCTTTTGGGCACCAGGGACCGGTTCCATGGAAAGAGGTTTTTCTGTGGACCAGAGGGGGCGTGGTTTTGGGTACTGCCGGATGGGGCTTGTTTGCGCGGACTGGTTTCTGGCATGCTACGGACCGGTGTCAGTCCACAGACTGGGGGTTGGGGACCCCTGCTCTAGGTGAAGGTCACTAAACCCTAAAGTCCAACATTGCCCAATAAGTAGACTGCTTACCTTTGTTTGGGAAATCAATAATGCACAAAGGTACAAATTTTGGGGTACCACAGAATGGGGTGCAAGCAGTATTTCTGGACATGGAAATAGATGGAATGTTAAATCAAAATAAGTTATTAAAAAGAAAGCAAATTAAGAGTACAAAACAGCATGAGATTGCAAAACACGCTCAGATATAAAACTTAACTGATTTGGAAGAAGAACAAGGGGAAGAAAACCATGGTCAGTGGAAATATAATGCCACATGTCTGGTGTCTTTATATACTAAAGCGATAAATTATCAAGTGTCTTCTGTTTGCATATGTTAGTGGCACTTTGCATTATTTTTCTTTAACGTTCATTGTATTTTTGTTTTTGTTCTATTTTTTTTTCTAGTCATGCTGGCCAGGAAACAGGCGAGTTAATGGCACTATCGTTGGTGGAATCTGTAGGCCATGCACTTGTTTTGGTCATGCAGAGTCCTGTGATGATTTCACTGGAGAGTGTGTGGTAAGTGCTGATTGACAGCTCAGGATGGTGTTGCAATTGAATTAACTACCTTAGAGATGCTGACTAAAAAAAAAAAAAAGTAAAGGTTTCCCCTGTTCAGTCGTGTCCAACTCTAGGGGGCAGTGCTCATCTCTGTTTCCTTGCCAAGGGAGCCAGCTTTGTCTGAAGATGCTTCCATGGTCATGTGATCAGTATGACTATATGCCGAGGCGCATGGAATACAGTCACTTTCACACTGAAGTGGTATCTATTTATCTACTTGCATTTGCATGTAGTCAAACTGCCCGGTGGGAAGAAGTAGGGGCAAGTAACAGGAGTTCACCCCATCAAACTGACAACCTTCTGACAATAGCCCAGGGTCTTAACCGCTAGGCCACCACACTCCTGTTAGAGATGCTGACTACTTAAAGGGAAAAAAAAATAGCTGTGATTTGATAGGAAAGATCTTTATAATGAACTGCTTCTGAAGTCAGAGAATCTCTTGGCAGCATGATAAAATAGCTATAAGGGTGAGCAAGAAGACTTTTGATATTTACCTGATAGCCTTTGGATAGTCTTTATCCAAAATAAAGGGAATACTTTAGAAGCTTTAGAAAAGCTTCCGATGTACAATGTTCTAATCTCTGTTGTGAGAGTTACTTACATATAGAACAGTGTAGCAAATTATTAGTAACTGCTATTGTAATACATCATGCAGGTATAATGGTAATTCTCAGTAAATATCATAAAAATTCTTACAAAAGAAAATGATTGAAAAGGACACATAGCTTAGGCTGCATGGAAAGGTGCTTTTTCCTGATTGAATGCATAAATCTTACAGCTGCCTACTAATTCAGAATTAAATGCATCTATGAGTCAGACTAATAATACTCAGAGTGCCAGTGTTTCCAACCTGCTCACTAGCTTATTTTGACTGTGTGAATTACGCTGAATAGACTGTTTTGATTAACTCAAGGGCATTTTAGTTTTATATTGTCTGACATGGCATGAAGCTTGAAACAACATTTCTCATTTCATTAGTCTTGCAGAAATTCAATTTGAGCCTTTGCCAGTTGAGTGGGATATCATATTCCAGATTCCCTCTCGTATTTGAACCAACATTGTTCTTCTCAAGGAAATGTTTCAAGGAAAAGGCTAAATAAAAATGCAGTGGATTTACAACACAAGCTGGCATTTGAAATACCGCTGTCCTTCCTGTTTTCCTTCTGAACGAAGTGCCTGTGTATTCTGCAGTTCTGAACAAAATAGTTTAAACTGCTGGACATTTGAAATTGTACTTTCATGAATGGAACCTGAAATAATTCACAGATTAATTCTATAGTTAATATAGAAGTATTTACAGGACTAACTATATCTTATGAAAACTGTTTCTCTTACATTTCCCTTTGCAACTCATTACTGTAATGTAACAAATATTATTTTTTTATAAATTGAGGTGTGGCTTTGGACAAAGGTAAAATGTGCAAGGCTGAAATACCTGGAATCTGCTTTCCTAAATGGAGTACAAGCCAAAACTTTTTTTTTTCCTGTGGCTTGGGTTTTGGGGGGGAAGAGGAAAGAAGTGTTTATTTGGTCAGTGTTTAACTTTAGAATTAGTTTTGTGTATTAATGTTATCAACAAATAAATTCAATGTGGGAAGACTAGGTAGACAGGGGTTAGGGTTAGTGTTGCAAATTCAATTTCTTCACATGCCTTGCCTCTCCCATGTTATTTGCTCATTTCATGCTACACAGCTCTGCTAGGTACAACCATGTAGAACATGGGTCTTCAAACTTGGCCCTTTGATGACTTGTGGACTTCAACTCCAAAAATTCCTCAGCCTTGAGGTAGGAAAATACTGGAACTAGGAACATACAGCATCTTCAGCGCCATATCTATCGGCAGTGTCATATTTATCTGCAGTTTTACAACACTTCTCTTTTCTGTAGTCTTCAAACACAATCTGTATCAGAGAAAACCACATACTATCTAAATCTCGAAAAACTATTTCTGTTGGCTGTAAGTTAAGTAAGATTGCTTGGTGCCCAGACAGGCTATTAAATGCTGCAATTCAATTTGGATCATAAGACTTTTGAAGTGAAAGAAGGAAGACTGAGAAAGGTAAAAAGACATACCACATCAAAGTGATTTTCCCCCTAACTAAGTCGTATTGCGCCTTTTGGCCTTCTCATTACTATTCATCATGTTTTTCAGTAATACAACAGATAATTTAAGCTGCTAATTTACTGATACCTCTTTTGAATCTTCCTTAGCTTTGAAATATAGTTAAAAAGAATCTGAAATATGTTTCTTTGACAGTTTGATTCATAATAAGATCTCAGATCAAGACTAGGTCTATATGAAAAAGCCTACCTCTCATATGCACATTGGAATAACTTGCAAGGTCTTTGATCCCAACAGACTATTGCATACTGTAGTTGTACTATACATTCACAATGTCATTGTAATGTGTATGATCACTTCTTCCATAGCTAGCACAAGCTATAAGCTATTTGGTTATATTACACTAAAGGCACATTCTGCCTTGCACATGCAAAGCCATTCATGGACCTTAGTACCCTGGTTCTTGATCCCTAATGAATGTTGTATGCATGCTATCAATTAGCATAATTATTGAAATATATCCTGAGCCAGGTTGTTGATGAATTAGAATTCATTAAGGCAATGAAAAGTGTAGTTAACTACCGGGGCAGGGAGAAGGAAGGGATCTAACAGATGCCACTTCAAATTTCTATATGGAAGATGATGGTTATAATATTAGGCTAGAGAAACTCAATCCAACTGCAGTCAGCCATCTAACTCACTCAAAGTGAACTTGAGTCATATATTGGTTTTCAGACTACCATGGTTTATAAAGTTGTTACAAGAATGCAAAATAGGCTGGGAATAAGCTATAAGATGGGATAAGCAATGAGTATAAAGTTTCAAGTCTTTGATGGAAAAAAAGCATACATTTGAGACCTAAGGGATTTTCATACCATGCTAGGTTACTTTTAAAATTTAGTACTCTATGATGCACTGAAAAAGGATGTTTTGTGTCTTCTTCCCTTGTCTGTTTAGAACTGCAAGCACCACACAGGTGGTCGATATTGTGATAGATGTCTTCCTGGTTTCTATGGAGATGCCACTAAAGGGAAAGCTGATGACTGCCAGCTGTGTGCCTGCCCACTGAGTATATCTTCAAACAAGTAAGCTACAAATTCAGCCAGTAAAAATACTATCAAATTGTTCCTTGAAGTATTCCTTCATCAATTACAGTAGTCCATGATAAAAAAAAATAGATTAACTAGCATGAATGTACAACAAAAAATCACCAGTTGTCTTATTTCAATTCTGGATAAAGTAATAAACATCACAACAAAGTACATTTTCAAAACAATCACACAATGCTTTATTTTATATTCCATCATTTTCACAATGTTCAGATAAAAGGGAAAAGGAAAACACTATTGTAATAGATCTATTATGATTCGAAAAGTTCAATTTGGTAGGAAGATCTATTTCTCCAGAGATTTTCTGTAGATAGAGAAGAGTAGAGTAGAGTAGAGTAGAATAGAATAGAATAGAATAGAATAGAATAGAATAGAATAGAATAGAATAGAATAGAAGCTGGAAGGGACCTTGGAGGTCTTCTAGTCCAGCCCCCTGCACAAGCAAGAAAACCTATACTGTTTCAGACAGGTGAATGTCCAGTCTCCTCTTAAAAATCTCCAATGATGGAGCGCCCATGATTTCTGGGGGTAAGCTGTTCCACTGGCTGATTGTCTTCACTGTCAGGAAGTTTCTCCTCAATTCCAGGTTGTTTCTCTCTTTGATCAGTTTCCAACATTGTTTCTCAGTGGAACATTTGGCAAACTGCAGTAAAGCCTATAGAGTTCACATTGGAATAGGAATAGCTAATTTCTTGGAACTTGCAGCCTGGAAAAAGTCTTGTTATGTTAATAACTGGCTGGATGACCCTTCTTATAACTGTGCCTTTATATGTTTAATTATAATATGCTTTTATAATAAAAGCATATGGTCCAGAAAGAAACCAGAATTTCCTCTTGGAAGGCTCAAGAATTTGACAGAGGGACAAGGAAACCTTCCAAGCTGTACAAGCTTGAAAAATAATTAGGAAAGAGTTATGCTAGCAAATCTTGCCTACTGTTGGTTTAAACAGCCCAACGTTTTGCAGACTGCCATGCAAGCCTGAGAAAAGATGCTGCTATTTTAAGAAGTTGACTCATTAAAGTTAATAAAATTCTTAAAGCAGTCACCTCTTTTCACCTGCCCATGCAGAAGCCTGAAAATTACAGGTTCCTTTATTGAAAGGCTGTGCTTATTATAAGGGCCAAATAATTTCTCTCAGATTCTCAGCATGACCGTATTAACATGGGGATTTGCTTAGCTTTCAAATTGTCAGGTACTATTCTCAGACAGCTATAGTCTTCACAAAGCTGATGTCTATTTGCAGTATTTTGTGACTTGTTGGTCTGTTACCAAGTCTATGTATTCTATGTTGGGCATGCCAAAGCAAAACCAGAGAGGAACTAGCAGCAGGCCTCACATGCGTGATGGATTTGACAACAACGGAAATGGGTGGAATTAGACTTAATTATACAGAGGAAATACGTATGGAAATTAAGTTGGAAAAAATGTTCTTTGTCTTGCTGGTCTCTCCCTCTGGAATATACTGTACAGTATCTAAAACATCTGAAGTTACACTTGCTATATTTACATAAACAGCATACTTTCTGAGGATCCAATCAGGTCATGCTAGTTGATTAAGTTCAAAATTCACATACCTGGCAAACCAAAGAAATGACATGGATTTCAGAAATGCTTCTTTTCTATTACTCACCAAGTCTGTGCTGTGCTTCTCCTCACATAAATGGAACTATCTTTCCTTTCTCCTTCCCATAATCTCTCACAATTATTTTGATAAACAGAATTATCATATAAAATACAGATGGGCAAGTAGCTATGAACTTATACGTGATGTGGCATTTTGAGGTCCACAAGATTATGATGTCAACATTTAATTGCAAATCACCATTTTCAGCAGTGCAATTTTTTTACACATTTTTGTTTTTAAACATCCTACAATTGATCCAGTAAGTTTCATGAGCTTATTCTTTGAAAGCAAGCAAACAAAAACCAATTTGTCCCAGTACCCTTTATTTTTTTCCTGCTACTCTGGGCATGATGACTTAGTTCATACAATCCAGGGCATAGTTACTTTCTTCTGACTTAAAACACCCTTTTGCATAATCTATCTGGGCTTTGGCTACTGGAAAATAAGTCCCATTAAAATTAATGACTTCTCCTAAGTAGATACACGTTTGTTTTCTCCTGCTAATCAGAAACTCTGGATTTCAGCAGAAAACGCAATAATTAAAACTGCAGCTTATATGGTTTCTCTTAATAATGGTTACCTGTCAATTCATAAGACTTGTTAAAAATCTCAGTTAGGTCTTATAATGTTGCAGATGTTAATTGTTAGTAGAAGAAAGACTGTTATCATTATTTGCTTATTTTTATTGCACTGCTACAATCATGTTAAACTAAGTTTTATCCTAAGGCTGCAAACCTACTGCTGAGTTGTTTGGAAAATTTAACATCTATGTAGTGCAAACAAATCTCAAAGTGAAATAAAAGGAAGAATAATTGAAGACTGATCTCTTTAAAATAGTAGAGTGACAGATACCCTGTTGTTTCAAACTGCTTGTATCTTTCAATGTGCCAGCAGATTATCTCATTCCAGTGTGTCAATCAGATAGGGGAGGGAAAGAAATATAGAGGAAAAAGAGGCAAGAAGGGAGAACTACACAGCTAGAATAAAATGCTTTCAGAGATAATGAACTTATTATATACATGCAAATGTCAGGATTCCCAAAAAGAAGCAACTTTGAGGCTGCTATAATATTTGTAAAAAGGGAGAAAAACATCAAATAAATCAATATAAAGCTCCATTTCTGATATATATACAACTATTTGAAACTTCTGGCTAGAAGTGATGAAAAAACTGCCATTATGGTGAGAATGATTAATGAACTTTGCAAACAGTTTCTGCTACTACTTGGGGACAGGACCCTTTGAATTCTGTGAGATTTATCTTTGAAGAAATATTTCTAGATTTGCCTGATGATATATTGAAATGATTGGAAATGCCCACCTGTTTTGACACCCCTGACTGTGAATACTGGTAAAATTGCTTATGGATTTTGATATGGAAGGTGCTGTTAGCAGAATGAGAGGGAATGTGGTTGTTGGCTAGTCCCAACATTCTTCCCCTGAAATCTGCTCCGGTGACTTAGAAGACTATTCAAAATAGCACAGAAAGTTGCAGTCAGGAAACTACATTCTCCCAACAGAAAGTCAACAAATGGATACTGCCTTGAGGCAAGCTTATAGTAAGATGTTAGATGCCAGTTATTTAGTCAGTTGATCTATGCAATTACATGCTGTTAGATGAAGTCCTTTAAAAAGCTGCATGATTCTCAACTTTCTTTCTCTTCAGTGCAGCAGTGTGATTTATCTGTTTAGGTAAACTGGGATTATTGAATATCCCCAGCAATTGTCCTTCAGCTGCAGTGAACTTTCACTTGGGAATCTACTGTTGCCAGGCCCTTGGGGGCTCAGACAAACAGCTGTACATTCCTGCTTTTTAAAAATGGAGTAGAGTCTCATTGATAGACTAAGGGCCCATAACAACATGTCATTTGGATGCTGCCACCCATTTGAGCTATATCCAGTGTCGGCAGAAATAGCTCCACTGACTGGAGCCAAACCCTAAGCCCTGTGTGTGAGACCAGACAGACTTTCCCCTTTGCTCTGTTTTGAAAGCAGCGCTCTCAGAAAACAACAGTAGCTATGCTGCTAATGAATTTCTTTCTATGCTTTTTCCCTAACCCGGTTCTTGCTCTCCGCCAACCACAAAGTTTTAGCCCCACGTGTCATTTGGACCAAACTCATGGATTCATTTGTGATGGATGTCCCTCTGGGTATGCCGGCTTACGCTGTGAAAGGTAAGAAAGTTTTGCATGCTTTTTAATTTTAATTTTAATTTTTTTTCCATCTGAGAATGTGCCATTCTTTTTTTAAAAAAAAATCTAACGTCTTTTCATATTAACGTACCCATCTTTAAAGATGTATGGTACTGCCCATAATTGCAATAGAGTATCATTGGCATGCAGGGATCCTATTTTAATGAGAAAATTTCTTCAGCTGCTTTATGAGCCAACAGGTATAATTTTCCAGATAAACATGAAGTATTACATCGGAAAAAAACATTTTTCTCTTTCTTTTTTCTTTTTTTCTTTTTGGCTGGGTTTTGTGAATGGTTTAATTGTTATTATACTGCCTTCCAAATTTGTTTGGAATATCGAGAGTGCATTTAATCAATTATTCAGTGAGTTGCCATTTTCATCTCCTTGGAATGAGCCAAACAATGCAAGTGAGAACGAAGGCGAGATTTATTTATCTTAATTATTTTTAATTGTGTGTTTTCAAACTTATTAGCTTTTGATTCTTTAAAGTGTTTACTTAGTATCTGAAAACAGGATTCTTGATACTGTCTCAATTAAAAATATTTCATAAGTGTTCTCCCACCCACCCACTGCTTTTTGGATGATAAAAATGCACGACTTCCCAAGTGAGTGAACAAAGACAAATGTAGACATTTGGCAGTCAATCATGAAAACTGTACATCTTCACTTTGTTCTTTTTTTTTTTGTTCTTTCCTTGAAGTAAGTTCTGTGAAATGTTTTTAAAATTATGACAATTAAAAGTCAAGAAAAGGCCGGCATGATTCGAAGGGAGAACATGAATTGCAGACAATTTCTTCTTTTCAGCTTTCTGTTACTTATACTTTAAAATCCCATATTTTTGTTGTGTTGAGTTGTAGCTGATTCCTGGTGACCCTGGATAAATGGTTGCCAAGTTATTCTGTTTCTCAGCTCATGTAATTTTTGCAGATGGATTTTTGGGATTCCCAGCACTCCATCTATTCTAGCTGTGCAAGCTGGCCTGGAGACCCAATGGGGGAGGAGAACTACACTGGAGGTGGCTACTAGTCTAATAGCAAACCCCACTTCCCTCCTGCACTCCTGGATTCCCTCCACCCATTTTTAATCTCATATTACTGTACCTTCATTGTATATTCCATTGTTTACCTTTATTGTTTCATTACTTTGATACTGTTATG